CGCCCCAAATTGTTTACGGGGTCAGAAGGAAACAGCACCATTTTCATGAAAACCGTGCTCAATTGACTTTGAAAACTTAACCCGGACATTTCGGAGTTTCTTATTTGTTGACTCAAACGTCCAAACTGCATGTTTGTTGGAGACAGATCTCCCGCATCACTGATTTATTTTTTCCTTGGGGACGATCCATTTAATTTTGCTTTTTCTTGAGGTGTTCATTAACTGCGACCCGCAACTTCCGTCCGCGGCTTACCATTTCTTCGACTGAAAACATCCATTCTGACGCTGATTCGTAATTGTTTAAACTCTACTTGATCCCAGTGGATGTATCATAACAGTAACCCTCTTTTTTGACAAATTACCAAGCTTTGGGTTGTCACTACCTTTTCCTTCAAATTTTCAAATCCCAATTAAAAACTGGCCCCAAAACATGTTTTTTTTAATAAGTCGACCCTTTCAAACGAATGGTAGAACAAGATCTACATGACTTCAAATGAAAGTTTGAACACATCAACATGTACACTGGATCAGGTGGTTTACCCAATCACTGTGCCAGCAATCAGGTGGATCACCCAATCACTGTGCTTGCAATCAGGTGGATCATCCAATCGCTGTGCCAGCAATCAGGTGGATCATCCAATCACTGTGCCAGCAATCAGCTGGATCACCCAATCGCTGTGCCAGCAATCAGGTGGATCATCCGATCAGTGTACAAGCAATCAATCTTTAGCAGTTGCATTGCAATTTGCGATCCTATAAATCTGTGACTCTGGTAGGGGTTGGGAGATAAACCAAATTCCTACAGCTACTGAACACATAGAGATTTTAGACAAGGAGTGCTAGAGTATTGGAGACCTTCGTTGTTACCTTGGGGGCACTTTTCATAACACAGATGTACATCTATGTATACTTGTAAGCTTACATGCCTAAACAGTGCAGGTTTAATGTTTGTTGTCCATTTTGGCTGCTAGAGAGTTAAAAATAACCTCAAATATGCACTTTTCCCTGAGTCACTTTGAATAATTGAATATTTGACCTCCCATTCAATCAAATATTCATTTATTTGGTTGTACCCAATGCCCACCAAACCAGAAACAAAACACACATTTTTTGTACCATGAGCTAAAAAACGAACAACTTAAAACAAGGACTTTGGGCCTGATTGTCAGTCCTGTGATTTAGCTGCCTTGAAAACCCTAAAGATCCCAAACCAATCAAACTCTAACACCAGGGTTTGTTGGAATCTGTTAGGATGAGTAGTGCACTGGTATACCGGCTGTGGTTTGTGTGGGATTAGGCATACCACAAATAGAGTCCAACTGTTAAGGTGCACAATTTACTGTGGTGTTGATATTTGCAAAGATGAAGTTTGCCAGTAAATCACCCTGGGGAGTAAGGGTTAAGTTACATCTTGACATATGCTTTAGAATGCCATTTGTACTCAAATAGTTTTATTTTTTTTCTGTTTTATTATAATGATTTTCATCTCAGAATAAACAAAGTAACTATTTGAATATTCGATAAACAATTCAAAGATTCTGTGTTTTTCTTCTGGAATCAGATAGTCACAGTTAAGGTCACGATTCGAAATGCTATACATGTTAACCTACTGATAAAGAATGGAGTTTTAAATAAAATTCAGGTAGGGAAAATATTTGTTGAAGTAAAATGTTTATACATCTACATGTACACCATTTGACAGAAACACGATTTTTTTCCTTGCCTCTGTCCTCATCCCCACAAAGAGTAGCAGTGTAATTTCAAAATCTTTGTAACAGGATAAACCACAATTTACCAAATCTCTGTTTCAAGTGGCCCTCCCATCTACTGTGAAAACAAGCTATGTGTATGGAATCCTTGTGATGTCAGCTATTCCACCCTGCACATTCATCAAAATCCCCCTGCAACCAGTTGGCAAACACTGACAGAAAAAAAGCCCCTTTTCTGTTGTCAACTCGCATGAGCTTCATCCATATTTGTCTCCTAGACTTGTTCAGGTCTCCGTGGAAGTTCCTCCCCCCCCCCCCAACACCTCTGGGTAAAAAACAGTGGTCAGATCTGCAAGCATGCGCTGCATTTTGCAAGTCTTTTGTGGTGACAACAAAAGCAGGTTGTGATCCAGTCCAGGGAAAACTGGATTAAAATACCGGCACTTTAAACTTCAAAGGTCTCTTTTTCTTTTCTTTGTCTGATCCCAGGAAAAAAAGAGAGAAGAAAAACACAGTAGCAAAGTGGATTTCACCGAAGGTTTTGCAGACACTCCCCATGACCGGTGGCACATTTTGCGGTGGGCCACTGTGCTACTTTTTTTGGTGGGCTTTTGTTCGGGGCGAGAGTTGACGCTGAGAGTTTGTGACAATTTGGGGAGGCCGCATTCCGACATCTTTAGGGTTAATTTAAAAGCCAACCACCGCCTAAAAATTGGACAAGTCATATGCCAACTTCAATGAGACTGGCAAAAACATTGTAGTTGGATGCTGAATCTCTGGCCAGGATATGGAAAGAGGAGAATTTGTCAGGATTTAATGTTCACCGCAGCAGCAATGTTTCAACGAGGCCACTTTAAAACAATATCAATTGCTGTTTGGTACAAATTGCAGAGAGTGAAAGTGACACTCAACAGGGTGAAACTCCAGCATGTTTAAAATGACCGCAGGTGCAGTAAACTACATGTGCTGGCATCACCAATGTCCTTTTCCTGTTTGTCTTCCATGTGACGCATATATACACTCACCCTAATACTGAAAACTCCACCATTTGGGGCATAACTTTGGAGCAAAACAGTACTACGAACCTGACAGTTATAGACTTCATGATTAATATTCCAAGCCGAACAGCTAAAAATATGTTCTGACTTCAAGCTACCCTCTTGGATTCTCCCCCCCCCACACATATTGGATTCCGACAATCTCCCTTCCCCCTCTCCCGCCAGCCAAGGGCTGTTTGGTTTATACAGCAAACGGGCACGTTTTTTTTGGCCAGATATTGATCGAAGGAAACATTGATAGCATCTCAGTGTCTAAACGCGTTATTCGCTCAAGGCAAGCTATAAATATCATTAAAAAAGAAGAAAATAGGATAAAAGTGCGTGTGTTTATGGTACACACAGTCATTGCTCGTATACACTTTATTTTGATGGGAATTTGATATACCATGTACATATTAGTCTATCAAAGATATCCCAAAATACCCCTGAATGCTCTGTTTTTATATGTCTCTATAGCTGCTATTGGTTTCATGTACAACAACATCCCCTCAAGTAATTCAACAGTGAAAAAGAAATTTGGCATGGCCTACCCTCTTTAACATGCCCATAGCAAACTGTACAGACACTGAGCAGCCTGCATGAACCAGCACATTTCACTGAGTGTTAGACAAATTATGTTGTTTCTAGGAGGCAGAGCGCCCTCTCTTATTCAAGGATGGAGCCCATCCCTCAGTGGGAAATCCAAAATCACGCCCATCTGTGCGCAGCATAAACAAAGAATCTGTCTAACTGAAGCTATCATTCTCAGTGATATTAAGTCTTAGCGACCTTACTGCAAGTTCACAAGTCAAATTCACTGACGTCTTCCCATAAATAAGAAGTTGGACCAGGAAAGAATTATGGCTCTTGGTCGAGATCAAAGTGATTCGAAAAGATGTGGAAGTCATCCAAGCCAACTGCAGATACTTTCATGGTGTTTTTTAACCAACCAAATTTGTTAACACGCGATCATTTACGAGAGGAAACCTACTCAGATATCAGATGATTAACTTCGTTATACAAGGGGGGGGTGTGGTCCGAGAGAGGGTGGACATCTATCAACCGTTTATTACCCGGCTGCCACAAAATGAGAGGGATCTTAACCAGCACAGCAACAGCGTTTCCGTGGGAAACATTCCATGTGTAGCGTGGAACATCAAGGCAAGAGTTCAAGGTCGACACGCATGTTTCTGACAGGTGGGGTGGGATATAACGGTTCATGTTTGGATCCTTTCGTATCCCTCCTAAACCAAACTGCCATCGATCATGATTTCCTGAAGTCTCAAACAGGCAAATTCCTCCTTCAGAGATGTCGTTTTCACCACCTCTGGGAAAATTTAAGGGTCGCTGTACATTATGAAAGATTCAATGTCACCCAGTCATCCAATCAGAATGGCAAAATATTACAGACTTGGCCAATAGCAATGTATGTGGGATCTGCGGGGCCCACGCCTGGCTCTCATTAGGTTGGCCTCTGGATTCAGCAACATTTTATAATGCTGAGAATGAATTCTTGACCTGTGGAAAAGTCTATGAGGCAAAGTTCATTTCTTTACTGGAGAGGACCAAAAGTTTGGTACGTATTTCTGGGGAACTATCACTTAGGATATAATGTCAAATCAGTGCTCTGATATATGTGATTGCAGAGCTTTCAGTAACTGAGTACCGTCTTCAGGGCAAGCAGATTCAGTTGCCCCCGGATCCAACATACATTGCTAATGGCCAAGTCTGTAATATTTTGCCATTCTGATTGGATCTCTGAAGGAGGAATTTGCCTGTTTGAGATTGTCCTGAAGAAGGTACTCAGTTACCGAAAGCTCGGCAATCACATATTTCAGAGCACTGATTTGAAATTATATTCTGATCACGGTGCTACGCTGCCCTTCCATATTTCTCTGTCGCTTAGGATATCTGACTTTCCTAGTCTCCAGTTTCTCTGGTGGTGGATATCAAGACACTAGGGCCATTTGTAGGATATCACACAAGGAAATGAGGAGCACTTAGGCTAATTTATAACTCTGATGAGAACAGCGACCATTGCAAAGACTCAGGCTTATCCCTCACTACAACCTCAAGTCATTAGATAAATTATGATACAGATTTTCAAATTCACTCAGCTAGGTTATTCATCCCCAGGGTGCCATGACAACAGTATATTTGATGTTCGTTGCCTAGCAACAACATCATCCTCAGAAACCCCTACACCTGCCACTGTCTGTATCCTTTTTCTACTCGATTGGAATCTGTGACTTACCATAGTCTGTCTTGCAGTAGCGCTTGTGGCTGATTTTGGTGCTCTTCGTGCAATCTGGACACTCACCTGCAAGGGGAAAAACAGAACGACTTCAAATATTCATCATCCTGGCAGAGGAAGCCATGTTTAGAAAATCACTGCAAGTTAAAAGCTCTCAACCATTCTGCACAGAAAATCTGTCTCTCAGCTTTGCATAGTGTCAATAACAAAGAAGGAAAAGGGTGACTTTACTGAATAAATCTCTACACTGTTTCTTAGGAAGTAGTTTTTCCTACATGTATCTAGAACTTTCGTTGCATTTGTATCTCCAACAAGACCACAAATGCTGAAAGTTTTCCAAAATGGTGAGAAAATTCCACGCATAGTGATTTAAGCTATTTTGTCACTTCAAATGAAGAAATGCACACATCAAAAATGGTCTATTCTGGATTCAAAGGCTCCTCTAAACCAATGAAAATGACTTCTTCAAAGCTAAAGATTCTGGCAGGTGTCATGCACACAATAGCCAGGGCATCAATCACTCTCAAGTGCAAATAAACTGCCCAGTGCCAAAGAAAGTATGAAAAATGGGCGGCTTTTCTTTCTTTTTTTCCCCAAAGGTGCTATGAAAACAACACCCAGACAGCTAAAATTGCATAGGCCTATATGACTTTTCTACCTTGTCAAGACTTTTTTGCAGATTTGATTTCCAAACCCTCTAAAGGGACTTCGTGTGCATTTTGTGTGTAATTTCAGATATTTATTTGGGGGGGGTGGTTTGATTACTTTCAGATTCTCCCACTCTCTAGTATATAAATCTAAGCTCCCTCTTTCACCATCTGTTGGGACTTCAGTGTCAGTGCAGATGTGAATTTGTGACATGCAACAGTGTTACCTTGGAGGGCTCCACTGGCAACTGAGAAACACTACCTGAATATTATATGCTCAGTTACACAATTAATGGCTTTAAGCTAATCTCAGCTCTGAAAGTCGATTTTGTGAAGCTGATTTTTATTATTGGAAGTCCCAAATATTTTTTCGGGGGGGGAGGGTGGGACTCTTTGTATGTGACATCACATCTATACTTTTGCTACTGCTCTGTCAGTTTTATTTTTTCTATTTCTTAATTTTTTGGCATTTTACGAGGGGGGGGGAGCCCCATGTAGAACCGCACCCACCACACTCGTATGTTCTGGTTCATTCATAAAGTCGGGCGTATCCCCCATTTCATGACTGCTAGATCCACCAATGTAGTTCCAGCAGCTAAGCCAGTGGCTTCCACAGGCTTGTCTGTTGTTACCAGACTCAGTTCTAACTTTGGGGCATGGCTAGTCTTCGGGTTCCAAGACCTTCCTGTTGTTAATTCCATGACACAAACCATCACAAGACGAATCACTATCAGCAACACCATGGCAACACGAACCATTGTCAGACGAACGGCTACCACAGGAAACGCAAAACGGGCTGGTACGTATAAAAAGAGGACGCTGTCACAATGAATCACGTAAGTCATGTGCCACAGTAATGGTACACATGGCATGCATATCGAATCGCACCACCATGAAAGGCATCTTGGATCCATGACTAGGGCACGGCAAGAGACGAAGACCAGCATCACTGGTATTATCTTCTCAAGCCACCTATCGCCTCTCCCAAGGAGAGCTCAAAACAATTCCAGACAAGCAGGTTTTGCTCAGGCCAAATCTACACCACCCTCTGTTACACCATCCTCTGGTACGCCATAAATCTTTACACCACGGTGAACAAATGGGCATACTTCTCGCCAAAGGGCACAAAGGAACCACTGACTCAGACAGCACCAGGGGAAATCAGTTTCAAACCTTTTCATGTGTGTAGACAGGCATTTTGAATCTGTTTTCCATGACCAAAGTGATCGCTACTTGTGTTCATCCCACAACTTTTTAAAAAATAATTAGCAACCACAGTAAAACAAGCAAAAGAGTGTCTACTGAGGACGGCCAGAGCATCCTGGCCAAAACGTTGAGTTCATACTCGCCAGTTCTTTTCGGAACCACACCTCTTCTGAAAAGATAGTTTCCATGGTGTACCCGCAAACCTACAGCTTACGTAACTTCCACCATGCAAAGCTTCAAATCTTACAGCACAAGTTACATTAACAGTTTTTGATCATCAATATAAATTTTCTAAATTCTATCAGTTTTTGGCAAAAGATGAAAACCAAAAACCCAAACTAGAAACTGCTCCAGTTTATCCTGCAATTAGGTTATTTCCTGCAATCTGGAACTCTCTCCTGCAACACATTAGTGCAGCAAACACTGAATAGGACTTTCAACCCATGTTGTATTTAAAAAACTCGCAGTTATTTATTTCAGTAGTTAAACCTGATGTTAACTGCTGCATTATTGGATTATTACTTTTACATACATTATAGGCTGTACTGTTGCATAATCTGAAGTGCATCCCCAATCGACGAAGAGACAGACAGGTGGTTACAAGCAGGTTCTTGCACGTGTTCTGCGTGTATGCGAAGACCCTACATATCGGAGTAAATTAGTTACGCGTACTCAGCTCCACGTCAAACGCACATATACTTGCGCGCCTTATGGTGCACCTATGCGGTGAGTACCCAAAAAAAATGCCCTCTTTGGTTCTGCTCGGAGCAGAGAGCAGTCAGCTTTAATAACCTCCAGGTTCTTACAAATTTCAATGAGACGTCCCTGGATGTGAACAGCTTTTAACACAACCTTGGCAAACCAAACTTGCACGTTTTTCCGGTGTGATAAAGACACTATTATCTTCATAATTTACACCTCGGAGGAAAAATAGCCGACACGGGGCAAAAGTGTAGAACTATCGAATCTCAATGTTACGCCTTTTCCTGGCTATAAAAAAAGTTCTGACCCACTTGTAAATTTGTTCGAAGTAGGTCACTCAAATTCAGAGTTTGTTTTGAAGTAGGGTCACGAATGACATATTTTTTAAATGTAAAACTCCTTCGTCTTTCCCTTCTCATATTACCGAATAACTTGTAGTTTGTTATCATCTTTGGTTACATCTTTCAAGGACAATGGTGGCTTTGAAGATTTTGTAATTTATTCCATTCCGTGTTGTCAGGTTACGCGGGATCTGTCTCAAAGGGGTGTATGTTTGGAACTTTGTGGAGTTGATATATGATTACGGGAAAAGTTGGACTAATATTTTCTTTCTGATATGGTCTGTCATATTTTGTTGCATACCAGGTTATGATTTGAATCTTTAAACAAGGGCTAGTGTGACAAATTGGCTCTCCGCCAACTCGTTTTGTGGTGTGACTGGTTTATAAGCAGACAGATGTAGGGACTTTTGAAACTTCTGAAAGTTTGGAGACAGAAAAACTTTTAAAAGGCCAGTCACTAGCTAAGGGGGT